CAGTGCTGTCTTTTTCTCTTTACTGCTATCTCCAGTTCTTGCCTCGAGTTCCAGACTTGCATCCTTGTTCCCCTTCTCTACCCTGTCGCGAATCCTGCTAGCAAAAAAGATATAGACCCCTCTCCATCCCTACTATAAAATCACTGTTCAAACAAAAAGTATTTATCTTTCCCTACCCCAGGTATCTACGGTAAAAACCAGGAGCACACTTCCTCATCCTTCCCGTTCTTCATCGCTCCCTCTTCTTTCCATATGGACGTTACTTAGCCAGTCGGCAAAGGATCTACGCCGTTTAGTCCTTGTATATATCCACCTATACTAGCCCCTTCCCCTGCCTCGAACGAAACCCGCCACACATCATCCCCATTTCCACCTGCCACATTCAAAACTGCCGCCATTCGCCGTGGGGGCAGTCCTACCTGCCGTCGGGAGAAAAAATTTCTTGCAGTTCGTGTATGAGACAAGACGAGCCGAGCCGAGTTCTTGTAACCGCCTTCCGAGTTTAATAGTCGTCCCCAGCCCTACCCCCTTGATTTCCGTAATTCGGGGAGTGAACCTGGGCGAGCATCAACTTACGACAATTACTAAAACACGGCTCGTTTTGACTGTTACTCTACATCTGCGCGACGGTATTTCGTGGTGAGCCTCGACAACGTTAGTTAGCTGTTTGCCAGCTGTGCTAGGTAGCGGTGCTCGGCACTCGGCTAATTAAACCGCGTGCATTAGGAAGGGTGCACGGATTAAGGCAAGATAGATAAGAGAAACAAGAGGGCTAGTGAAAAATATGAAACGACCAGTGGTGGTAATGGTTGATTCTGCAGGCAGGGTTTGAGAACAGGATAGAGGAGGGGAACAAGCTTATTTAGGAATCTGTTTATGAAGCTGATGCTTAGGTAAAGCTGAGAGTTCTCAGCTTTACGTAAGCATCAGCGTCATCCTATTTGCTTTCAGCTTTACCTAAGCATTAGCTTTATAGGTGAAGTCCTCTACTGATGGGGGTTTTCCGTTTGCTTTTCTTGCTTTTATTTTCGTTTTTGCTTTTACTTTTTTCTTGCTTCTCTCCTTTCCACCCATCATCCCCTCCCCTCTCCTTTGCAAGGCCTAGGCAACTGCCAAAGGAACTACGCCACGTAGCTACTCAGTGTACCCACTCAACCGCCTCCCCTGCCTCTTATCCCCACGCGTGAAACCCACACAAACCACCCCACCTCACGTCCACCCCAGCTTCCTTCCGTATCTCGAATTCCGCGCCCAAAAAATATGCTCATTTATTGCCAGCTCTCCACTCCCCCTCTCTCCTGTGCCCTCTGCAGTGTACCCCCTCCCAAGCCCTTCCTCTACCCGCATATCCATGGCAAAAACCAGTAGCACGGCTTCTCCTCCTTTCTGCCCACCCACCCTATCCACCCCTCCCCCACTTTCAACCCCAACGCACGAAATTCACACACAAAGCCCACCCCCCATGTGCAGCATTACGCGTTCTGCGCCGCTGCAGTGCACCCAAAAAAATCGGCGACAGGTCATGTGTGGATCCGGCCAAGCCGAGCCGAACCGTGTTTTAGTAATTACCCTGATCTACATTCGCAGTTTCTGTCTGAGAATAAATAAGGAGAGAAATGAGGGTGGAGGTGTTTTTGTCTTCCAGTTGCTTTGCTTCGGTAGCATCTGCAATTGCCCTAGTGACCTCCTTACGTAGTCTTACGTGTGGTGAAGACGCGAAATTCAAATTTGCGGACTTGGGAATGCCTTATCTCCACTACGCTTTTTTGCTGTGCAGTGCTAATGCGCTGCAACAGTGAACAAAAGCGCATATTGCCGAGGAGTTTTCCGCATGTGCAAGTGTGTATAGAAATATATTTCCTTCTTCGCTTGAACCCATAGCGATATGCTTCCTTCCTCAATGTAAACCGTCTTTTTGTCAAAGTTTGCAAGAAACCGATGCTGGCTTCTGGTCTTGTGAAGTACTCAAAACAGCTTGAGAAGTACAGTGATGAAAGATTGCTGATAGATTTTTCCTTCTCGACGATTTCCAAATTTTGCGACTATTAGGATTCTTAATATTCCTGAAATAAGAAGTATTAATTTGGACCTTATTTTAGGTCAAAAATCCCGTGACTCCAATCCAGGAAAAGTCGTTGATTTTAAGATAAGGCTTTTGTGAAGGCCGTTATGAAGTTTTTGCATGTTTTTAAGTTCCATAAATGGCTAGTAATTCAAGTATTTTTTGCCGATTTCACTTCGTCTACAACTAAACTGAGTCGTGTCCATTATGCCTCTGCCGTTTGTGTTCTTTATCTTTAAACAATCTCGACAACAAACTTTATCAGTCCAAAACTTGAACAAAAAGCTAAAAAAGTTGGTA